CTATTCCTTGGGATGCAGCAAACAAAGCGCAGGGTACCCTGCGATGCGACTGTCGTGGTTGTGTGGCTTTGACTAGAACACCTGAAAGGCAGACGTTTGGTGGATTGATTGGTTAATACTAAAGTGTGCTGTAGTTGAAAGTATTTTTTTGATCGGGTGCATTGATCTCTCGTTTTTGTCTACTGTACGACTCAGTGTTACGAGAAGCCAGCTCATTCTTGACTTGAGGCAACAGAGCTTCTTCGGATTTTAGCATCTTCGCCACATTTTGCTGGGTGTTATGGTATCGCAGCGATCACCACCATGCACGCAATTCACGTGTCCCCTCTTTTGACACGAATTGTTCGGAATAAGGCGCTTACTTTCTGTATCGCTCCGTCATTGTCGACACAAACCCACGAGTCACCATCAGGTCGCAGAAACAGTCCTGCGTTTTGATGTATGATCTGCACAATTTCCTGAGCAATTTGCTTCTTTCTTCCTCTTTTCTCAGCTTTCTGATACATCTTGTACCTTTCTGTCACTAGACTTCGGAGCTGTATATTGCCTGGATGAGTCTGAAAGGGGGTTCCTTTGCCAAAAAGGACGTCAGCTTTGAACGGAACATGTACTTTATCCCTTCTCGGCTGTTGGTGCCGTTCTTCAGCGCGCATTTCCATCAGACGTTCGCGGAATGCTTGCAAGTTTGAGATTTCCCCACCTTTTGTGACCGGGATGGTTCCCGATGCAATACCAAATCCTGCCAGACTGGAGATTACTTCATCATGTGTTCCTGGGATAAGTATACCGGTTGAGAAACGAAAAGGAAACTATACCAAATACCTCCAGCTCACCTTACCGTAGTGTGTTCTTGATCTTATCTTGACAAAAGGACTTAGAGCAGTCTTGACAATTCCAAATAGAACACGATAAATCACGCTATCGTGACAGAAATGGATTGCTTCAATTCGAACTGGCATGGCTTGCATCATCCTGGTCAAATTCCACGGATTTGGGACTTTTGTTACATCAGATTGATTCCCAACCCCGTAAATGACAGAGACAAAGCCATTCTCCTGTGCTTCTGGTTTGCGAATGGCAACCATTGTATTGTAATACGCCCGCTGAAGCTGAAGGATAATGGGATGTAAGAATCTCACAAATGGATGCAGTGAATCTCAAACCGCAAGCAAGCGTTGCCTTACAAGTGCTCTCAGCGAATTCTCAGTTCCAACTATAGCAAAATTTATCCACCTTCCCGTACGGTCTTGGGCATCTAATCCTTGCTTTCTTCCAGAGTATATTTCATGCATAGCTTCACGACCAAGGTCATCTTGAACAATGTCCAATACTAGCTTGTCCTCACCAAATAAATCGAGCTTGAGTTGAAAAAAGCGGACAATCCGAAGGGCTCCTTTTTTGGCATCAAAGGAATCTGCTCGGAGAAATGCTAACTGGAAGGAGCGATTTTCCACATATTCTGAGTTCATGGACAAAGCAAGATCGTAAGCACGCTTATCCTTCAATTTATCAATTTCCCTGTGCATAGAATCTAGGCCTTTTTCGATGGCTTCCTCGGTCTCTGTAGGACCTTGTCTTACTCCATGAACATCCATGTACACCTTCTCCCTGTCTTTCATGGACAATTCCATCATTTGCTTAGCAATCAGAGAATCGACGGCATCAATATTCGGGGCAATATTTGGTTCGTTCTCGCTGACAACCTTTGCAGTGTCGTCACCAACATTATCCACATGCGTTATATCAGCGGAATCGTTGTGTATTGACTCCATCGGTTCAAAGCTGACTAATTGATCTTGGGGCTGCCAGGAGAATCAAGTCAAACTGAAATTCTGGCTAGATCTGCCGTCGCGATTATGTTTTTTTCAATGGAGCATATGAGACAGATGTAGGTTTGTTATTGACTGGGGTCTTTGGTTTGATATATATATTATAGTACGGTACTCATACCACCATCAGGCATCGGGCTTCGTGTTCAAATTTTGCTTTGAACATGATATGACTGCGACTGACTCATTAGACTTCAAATTGTGGCGTTATTCCATTTCTGTGAGATACCACGACGGATTGGTGATGGATTCGTATACTGTGCTGTACCTTCAAAATGGAACAAAATGAAGAGCTGTTTGCTTCCACATTCCTTCCTCTTGTTTCTCTTGGGACTCAATAATAGCCATGGACTACTGCATGGTGAATTTTCAGCCAGGAGCCTAATTTCACAGCAAACAACGCAGGGCAGCATCAGAAGAAGGATCGAAGCATCCGACTGTCGTGGTTGTGTGGCTTTGACTAGAGAACACCTGAAAGGCAGACGTTTGGTGGATTGATTGGTTAATACTAAAGTGTGCTGTAGTTGAAAGTATTTTTTTGATCGGGTGCATTCGTGCCGCTTGATCTCTCGTTTTTGTCTACTGTACGAATCATTGTTGCGATAAGCCAGCTCATTCTTGACTTGAGGCAACAGAGCTTCTTCGGATTTTAGCATCTTCGCCACATTTTGCTGGGTGTTATGGTATCGCAGCGATCACCACCATGCACGCGATTCACGTGTCCCCT